TCCACAAAAGAATCAGCTGTGTCACATCCTCTGATGATAAGGTGGAGGCTTTATCTCCCCCTCTAGATCGTGTTTTATCCCAAGATTTTATTTAGCTTGTGTAATCTCTGGTGTCAATCACTGTGTTGGTTTCCCTGCTTCTTGTGCCTTCTTCTGCTGCCAAACCACTCTCTGAGTGTTAGAGGAGATAAAAATCTCTCAGTAGTGAGGGTAAAATGTTTCTTCATGGTGGCCACGACCTGGGACAGAACCTGCCTGTGCTGGGCACTGTGATTTTAGGAAATGTGGTTGTAGCCATGCTGAGAACTGTGCTGGGCAGCTTTGTGCCCTCACAACCCTGCCCTGGTCACCTGCTCTGTCCTCCTTGGCTCTGCAGAGCCCCAAGGAGAAAAGAGGGAGAGGTGCCCTGTTCCCCTGTGCCTTGGGCACGTGGTGTGCCCTGGAGCAGCTCTGCAATGTTCCCAGTGTAAACAGCTCTGCTTTCATAATGCATGGTTTGCTACTCGCCTGAATTCATTCCATCCCTGCCATCCCCAGTCTGGAGAAAGTTCTTGCTTGTTAGTTTGTTTGCACAGTTTTTTTTTTTAAATTTGGTTTGTTCTTCCTGAGCCAGAAGATTTTATCTTTTTCTGCCCAAATGCAAGTAAGATTATTATTATTTTTAATTATTTTTAAGAAAACTGTTTTATCCAAGCATTTTGTGAGCGGATAGTCCCCTGTGGATATGTAATAGTAATTGCAAAGCTTATTTTTTTTCTGCTCCCAGTGGCTTTGATTGTGTGAAAATAAATGTTGAGTACTATGAAGCAATTAATCCTCAGCTCTCCTGGGAGTTGGGTAGGTAATTATTGCTATCTTTAGCTTACAGAGTGAGGTGAGCATCAGCAACTGGATAATTTGCCCTTGCCCCAGAGATCAAGGACAAGATTTTCGCCCACTTGTATCAGGCAGATCCTTTTAATTGAAATATCCCATTCCTGCTCTTCAGATATTTCATCTTCTGCACTGACATATCCACCTCTGCTGTCCTCACAGCTTTAGTCATTAAACAGGTGGAGATTTCCAGGAGAACTTCACTGGAAAACTTTTGGGGACAGCTGAGGACAGAAAGAGAAGAAAGTCTGAGCTTTCAGCCCTGCTGGGTTGTGGTCAGCTCACTTCAGATTTTCCCTAGGGCCACTCTGGTGGTTCCACCCCACGCTGAATAAGGGGCTTTAAACCACAGGAAAACCCCAATTGTTTGTGCTTCATTTTGCAAATAATGAAGTCCTGTAGGTGGACGGAATGGTCCTGTTTGCAAAACACCACAGCCAGTGTTTGCCTGCCTCTAATCCCCAATGCAAATAATGCACAGGAATTCATTTTGCAGCTTGTTTATGGGATGTGATGCTATTACTGTGTTCAAATAAAGTCACCCAGAGGAAAGCAGAACAGATGCATTGTGTTGGCTTTGGAGAGGAAGCTAAATGGGGAACAGGGCACAGAACAGCAAATCCAGCCTGCAGCAAACTGCTGCATGAATCAGCCCTCAAATATTGTCCTTCTAGACACCACTGCTTTTAGTCTTTGCATTTCTGATTGCCAGAGGCACACAGGAAAAAAAAACCAACCAAACATGGGCAGGAAACAATGTGGTTGCTTTTATTTACCTCCGCCATTACTGTCCACCAAAATTTCTTACTTTTGATGACATTTCCCCAAGCAGCCCTCTGAGAAATAAGTCATTTTGTGAAGGATGCCACAGCAGAAATGTTAATTACCTTCGAGGGAGGGGGTTAAATAATGGTAATGAAGAAAGGCAGGCCCAGAGAAGATGCACCAACCCAAGACAGTGATCACTTAGGTGACCGTTGATGTGAAGAGGAATTAGATCAAGGTTTTCTCAAATTGTTCACAGCTGAGATTAAGGAAAAAAGTCACTTTCTAGGCTGCAATATCAACTTATTAGCTGAGAGCCTGTTCAACACCAAGCAGCGACCACCTTCCAGCTTTCCCTCACATTCCCAAAACTTGGGAAAAACTTTTGCAGGGAGGTGTTGGATGGACTCACAGTGAGGTGAGCACCAAGCTCCCACCAGCAGAGAGGAAATGGGAGCTGAACTGCAGCAGCTCAAAACAGAGCCATGCTCTGGGGGAAATACATCTTGGAATGGGAATACCTGAGTAATTCAGCTGGGAATTCTCCTGTTCCCACCCAATGCAAAAATGAAGGTTTAAACCACAACCAGCACTAGGCCATGCCATAAACCTGACATCTTGAATTCTTCAGGCACCCGTTTTTGTTTTAAAGAAGATACACAGGGATAAGAAGAGGGAAAAAAAAAAAAGATGCCAAAAGCATGGCACAAGCTCCAGAGAGTTTGGGGCTTTTCCATCTGCACTGACACAGAGCCTTTAACCAGGTGGAGAAGGGAATGTGATTTCACTGATACAGTGAAAGATCTGGGGGCATGGGATGAAATGAGCAAGAGGTGAGTTCAAATCAAACAAGCAGATTTCTCCCAATGCTGTGGAGTTCACTTGCAAAAAATTATCAGATTTTTTTTAGAGAATTATCTGAATTTGGAGAAGAATTTATGAGAAGAATTTATGAGAAGAACATTAATCTTCCCTCTTTTATCTTGCACCAGGCCAGAGCAAGGAGTGACAACAGGATGATGTCTGGAGGGAGGCAGAGGTCCCACAGCCTGATGTTATTTCAGTGAGGCACAGAAGTGTGGAAGAGGACCAAAATATTTATTTTACCTGTTGTATCCGCTGTAAATTCTCACTGAAAGTAGCCTAGCCCCTCATTAATGTCCATTTGCATATTAACTTCCACACCCCTAAGGATGAAAATGAAGGTACACCATGCAGACAACAAAACCCCACCTGTAACCCATGATTGTTCCACCCCTTTGGCAAGGCCAAAAATTATAGTATAGGAGGAGTCTGGATAAAATTAAATATGAAGGAAAAAGGAAAAAAGGGAAGGGGAAAGTAGCTCTGTTTGCTCAGGGCTGTGTCTCTCCTCCTTCATTGAATGTAACCAGATTTATGGTGTTGAAAATGAACTATTTGTGAATCTGTGGAAGTTCTTGTTGAACAGGACCAGACTTGAGAGCTGAATTGGTTTTAATCAAGAATTAAACCCAGCCCTTCTGATCCCTGAGGACCGGCAGCATCACAAGAGGGTTATTTCCTTCCAAAATTCCATACCCTCAACACAGCAAACCTGCTGGACCTCAATTCAGCACAGTCCACAGGGCAAAATGTGCTTCAGACTTTTCCTGTAAAATCCCAAATCCTTCAGATTTACTCTCTGCAAAGAACCCAAAAAGCAGCACCTGCCAACACCTTGCTCCCCTCCTCCTTCCCCCCAAAATTTATCCTTAACAGGCTACTTGAAAGCATCCAGGCTGCATTAATAAATGAAATAAGGAAAGCCAAAGTGGCTGTAATTAGTGGGGGGATGCAGTGACCAGCTAATCAGCTCTGCCCCTGTTATTTTAGGATCCAAACTGAGCTTTATATAGCTTTATAAACCTCTGTACAACTAATTGAGGTAATTAACATCTTGTCCCTCTTTTTATGCTGGCGATTATAGGCCACCATCAGATCAATGATGAGAAGCAAGGGAGAGGATGGGGATTTTTCATATCCAATGGAAAAAAAAAGGGAAAATATTTTCAATACCAATAAATTCATGTCTTTTCAGAAAAGTGGGGGGAAAAGACACTAAAGTGGTTTGTTTGTTTTTTGTTGTTTTTTTTTTTCTCAGCCTTTTCAGGTTAGCTTTAAAAAGTGGATGGTTTAGTGATCTGCTAACAAAAGTTAAAGACTGGATATGACTTTGGATTTTTAGCCATTAAGCTTTTTCCCTAAAAATGGCATTTTTCTTGGTTGTGTCAGTAAATTGAAGAGTCTGGAATTAGGGAGCTGTCTCCAGGACCTCCAAAATGTGATTTTGTTTTCTTTCCTTGAGGATTTTGGGTTTTTTTTTCAGCAGGTGCTTTACAAAACAATAAACCTGTCCATCTGTTGGAGCTTGAAAATCTAGTGGGGCTGGGGGGAAAGGAACAGCAAGGAGGGTATTATTTTTTCTTATTTTTACCTTTATTTATAAGGCTTATTTGTCTTTCTACTCTATAGTAAGCTTAGACCTGAGGGTTGTCTTGAGTTGAAAGGAGCATTGCCCTTAATATTAAATGAAATGCTGCCCAGTGTGCTGGAAAGGGGAAGGATTTCCACATTTTTATTAAAAAATGAAGGTCAGCCTGGTCTTGAGCTGTTCCTCCAATCTGAGAAATCCAGAAATTCCATGTCAGTGACCTACAACATAGAAATGTTCTGCCTTTTTCTGGGGAAAATATACATACAGATCACTGGATTGGGATTTTTGGCCCATTTAACCAGTTCTTACCAAGCAGTTATTTCAGAGGAAGCCACATTCCTTAATCAATCACTCCTTTCCCTTTCTAGCAGTGCTGGGTCACATTCCCAGAAGGGGAAAGGGGAGGAAAAAGGAAAGGAAAGGAAAGGAAAGGAAAGGAAAGGAAAGGAAAGGAAAGGAAAGGAAAGGAAAGGAAAGGAAAGGAAAGGAAAGGAAAAGAAAGGAAAAGGAAAGGGGAAAAGGAAAGGGGAAAAGGAAAGGGGAAAAGGGAATAAATAGAGAACAAGGAGGAAATGGAAAAGAAAAAGAAAAAAAAAAGGGACAGAAGGGGGGAAAAGGAAAAGATAAAAAGGGAGACCAAGTAAAAGGGAAGAGTAAGAAAATAGAAGGAAATAGTGAAAAGGAAATGCAGGAAATCGGAGAGAAAGGAGGAAGAGATGAGGAAAAGGGAAAAAAAAGGAAAAAAAGATGTAAAAAGAAAGGAGAGAATGGAAAAAGATAAAGGGGGGGAGGAAGAGAAGGGAAATAGGAAAGAAAGGAGAAAGGAGAAAGGGCAAGAAGGAAAAAGGAGGGAAATAAGAGGAAAAAAAAGAGGAAGGGGAAATTAATAAAGGTCAAGGGAAGCCGGGTGAGAAGAAAGAAGAAAGGGGCTCGGGGCAGCGCCGCTGCCGCACCTGGGGCGGGCGGGGGCGGTGCCGGAGCCGCCCCGCGCAGGAGGCGGTGCGGTGCGGGCGGTGCGGGCTCGGAGCCGCTGCCTCCTCCTCCTCCTTCTCCTCCTTCCTCCTCCTGCTGCTGCTCCTCCAGCCGCCGCCGTGCCCGCTGGATGCGGCGGGGCCGGGGCAGGATGCGGGGCTGGGCGCTGCGCCGCGCCGTGCCGCTGCTCGGCTGCCTGCTGGCCGCGGTGAGTGACCGCGAAAACTTCGGGCAACTTTGGCAGGCTCTGCTCCTTCCCTGGAAACGGCGAGGGCTCGGCTTTGGGCTCAGGTGTTCCCTTCAGGGGATCCCTTTGGGCTGGAGGGGTTCCCTGCGGGGTTTTAGCGCGTTGTTCCGCAAGCGGCTGCGGGTTTCGCTGTCGTTCAGCTTTGCTGGCCTTCGGCTCGCTTTGGTTTCTGTTCGGGAGCTCGGGGAGCGCTCGCAGCTCACCTGGGGATAGCGGGATGAGCTTTCCGCGAGGGGCTCCGGGATGGGCTGCCCAGGAGAAGTTGGGCAAAGCGCCGCTTCCCAGCGCTCCCGAGCCGGAGCCGGGAGCCGGGAATGTGTCCGGGCTGCCGTGTCCCTGCCCGGTGTGATGTCCCCGCGGTCGGGTCCGTGCTGGCTCGGGGCAGGCTGAGCAAAGGGGGTTTGTTTCTCCTGGAGCTGTGTGTGCCCCGCACAGAGTCACACGAGCTGATCCTCCGTGCCAGCAGGCACAGGGCACGGGTCCAGGGAAAGGTGGCCCTGCCCGTGGCACGGGGTGGAACCGGAGCATCTTTAAGGTCCTTTCCATCCCAGACCATTCAGGGAGTCTGCAATTCCCTGATTTCGCTTTGTTCTCACGGCTCGTTTCCTCACAGGGCTTGATGTAGAGCGCGACTGGTTTTAATTTAGGGGGAGATTTGGCGCTGGCTGTGGCTGAGTTTCCCTCTCACTTGTAAGCTGCTCCCACAGCTGTTTTCTCCCAGGAAGGTGAGGCTGCCTCCCCAGCATCCTGTAGGGCTGGGTGAGGTTGCCCACCACAACTGGGTTGTACCACCCATTGCAAGTCACCTGTGTTTGCTCTGCTGGGCTGGTGACAGTGCTTGTGGTCACAGAACCATCACAAAATTGTAGAATGGTTGGAAATAAATAGCATCTGATTCCAAAGCCCTGTGGAATTTCAGCATACCAGTTGCTCAGAGCATCATCCAGGTCTTAAAGCAGAGTCAGACCAAGCAAGCTGAGCCTCAGAGAGTGGAAGTTAACCCAGATGTGTCAGTGCATCACTTGTCTCCCTTTCCTTCTCCCCTTTCTTCTATCCATGTCCCACAAGGAAGGAAACAAATGGATTTAATTGTAATTTTTTTTTTGGCTGTCACCATGAGCCACCCACCCAACTGCATTGCCAAAGACTTTCTTAGAGGAAGAACAGGTTGGGAAAATGGATTAAAGTACTAAAAAAAAAGGACAAGGCAATCAGTTCTTGGGATTCTACAGAGCTTGCTTTAGGGAAGATCCAAAATAACCCAAGTGTCCAGGGCTGGAGCTGGGGAAAGGAGAAGGGGGCAGTGTTCTCATCAGCTGCTGGAGCTGCTCCAGCTCTTGCTTCCACTGAAACCCTTGGCAAAATTCCCATTTCTTTAAAGATTGTTGGCATGAGGGGCTCCTCTGGGGCCAGATCCTGCAGAGGGTGAGGTCACAGGGCTGCTGAAGTTCACCCTGCAAGGGGTGGCAGGATCAGGCTGTGGGTGATGCTCGTGGGCTGCCATCAATAAGCACAAACCCCTAAAGCTTTGGGGCAGCACAAGACCAGGTGCAATCCTGTAACTGCTTCCTTTCCAGCCCTTTTATTATTCTGGTGTTGTTGTTAATGTTCCTGGGATCTGGTTCACGCTGGTGGGTTAAAAAGATTCACATGCTCCTTATCAGCACCGATCTGCAGGGTGACTAACACTGAACTGCCTCAGTACTGGAGAAAATTCCTGGTCTGTTTCTCATCTTAAACCTGGGATTTGGTGCTGATTTTTAAAGCAAAAGTAGCTTTTCAGTCATAACCTGACTCTGGGACCTGTGATGGCTCAGCAGAGCTTGGTTTGGGTTTGTTTCGTATAATTTCTTTGATAATTATATTGGTACGTCCTTGGGGAAAAAAACTCTGAACAAGTGGCTGATCAACAAGTTCAGCACCATAAAATTCTTGCAGCCATGTGGTTTCTAATTGCTGTTATAAACTTTCATCTCTCATTGTGCACGCTGTGGAGAAGGGGGAATTGGGCAGATCCCATTTGCTGAGGTCATCAAGCCATGCTCACCAAAGTCCTGCCCTCCTGCCAGGGGCAGCTTGGAAAAGTTGGAATAAAAGCAGTAATGGTGGTTTGGATGTGGTGTAAATGCACAATAATCCCTTTTAGGTTCTGTGTTGCTTTTAGGGGTGTAATTAAGATAATTTGGTCTGAAGAGCTACAAATTAGACACTTTTTTTTCCCCCCAATGTGTGTCTAGAAATGAGATGTGGATAATTTGAAGCAGTTGGTGGATTCCACGTGCCTTCAGACTTCAAGCTCCTTGAATTAGCCAAATCTGCCCAGCTGGTGTAATTTGTGCTTTTCTTCAGAGCATTGCTCTGTTCCAGCCTTGAAGTAGGTTTGTGATGGAAAAGAATAAAACAACTCAGATCTTCATCAGTCCGAGTGCAAATGCTGGAGATGTGATCAGTGTGGAAAATCAGTGAAATCTGAGCTCCACAGAAATCATAACAACCACTTCAGCTGTGTCTGTGCCTCTTTCCTCCTGTCATAGATTGAGAATCTGTGAAGTGACATAAATATACTTTAAACAAAACAACCACAAATGGTTTTGGCCAAAAGACAAGGTTCTCACTGGGATCCTCCAGGCCAGTTCCTGCACCCAGCACAAAGATCCTTTAGCAATAACAACATGTGTTTAACAAAGGCCTTGCCACAAACCCAGAGTCTATCACTGGGTGTATGATTTATTCCATTTTTGCTTGTATAAATGCATGACTGACTTTATTCAGGAGAACCAGTTGCCCAACCCTGTGTCTGGGTAACTCTGAAAGCCTCTCTGCCTCTCTCTGTAAAGTTTTCAGAGAGGACACACAATCAGCAAGAATAATATTGTGGGAGGTCTTACTAAGGGCATAAAAAGGCAAAATTGTAAAATAGGTGGGGGAAACTGTATCTGAGGGGGAAAAATGTGCTAGAGGAAATACTTAAAGCTGTTTCAAGCTGTGTTTTACTCACCAGCACGACAGCAGGGGCATTCATACCGTCATTATCATACCATCCCAGCCTAGGGATTTGTCTCCAGCAAGAAACTCCGGACAACCAGCCAGGAATTGGGATGGGCTATACCAGCAGCCGAGTCCACCAGGGTGATATTTAAAAAGGGATTTTTACCAGACACTCAGCAGCAGGAGCCAGGTGGGACCATGGACAGGGAAAGCCGCCTGGGGTGTGAAATTGGGGTTTGGAGGTGCATTTCCTCCCTTTTTATAACACTTTAAAAATCCTCTGGTTCCAACCCCTCAGTGAGAGGTGTGAGAGCCAGAGCTGCTCCAGATAGAAATCCAAATTCAGGTGAGTTGCGTTTTGTCCTGTCGTGGCTCCTGAGACTGACAAAACGTATTGTTCTCACTCTCAGTGTTTCACAGTGACTTTTTGAGTGGCTTTTTGTCTCTCACACTCGGCTTTCCAAGGAGGCATCGGGGCAGTCAGGGGATGCAGAACAGGGGATGCTCTGCACATCTGACAAATTGCAAGTAGAGACTGAGTGAGTGGTGGGACCGTGTCAGGAGAGAGGTGTTTCAGCTGCAAGGCTGCCTTAGAAATGGCAAACATGCAGAGTTTATATTCATTTTCAGGGTGAAAAAAAAAAGATTTAAAAAAATTAGAGAGGTTTTTGCCTTTACCAGATGGCCTCCAGCAGAAACAACTGGAGAGACTGGTGACTTGTCAAAACCAATCTTCCACATGATATGCTGATAGTCTGGGAGGACTGGGAATTTTCTGGTGTTTGGGCTAGAATGTAGACACAAATCTTTTGGAACAGAGGGAAGAGGGACAGGAGGGAGATCTCCCTGTTCAGCATCAAGTGTCCCCTTTGTTGGCAGCCTGGGCAAGGGCACCAGACACTGTGGAAAACGAGACCTGAGATTTGATGATCTTTTTTTAAGCCAGACCTGCGTGCACTTGGAGGAGATTTGTCACACCCTGAGTGGCTGAAATTCAGGGAAAGGATCAGATTATCTGTGCAGAATAAAAAATCTGAGTCAGGTTTTTGTGGGGAGCAGGATTCAGCTGGGTTTTAGGAAGGCAGGAGGTCATGCCCTGCCCTCAGACCAGGTCAGCACCAGCATGGCAGTGTCACTTCTGTGCTGCTGTCACTTCCCCTGCTGCATCACCCTGCCTCAGGGGACATGGATTTGTGGTTTTCCAATGCCTGGGAAAGGCTGTGGGATTAAATATAGCCCCACTCCCTGCTCTCATCAGCTTTCTCTCTTCTGTGTTGGGAAGAGGAGGAAAGAGCTTTGCGAGAACCAAAATCTAGGAAATGCAGCCAAGAAAAAATCCCAGGTCAGGGGACAAAAGGAGCTGGAGGTGACTGGAGAGCCCAGAGTAGGAGGGGCTGGAGTTGTGCCCCAGCAGGATGGACAGACACACAGACTGGCCTGTGCCAAGGCAGGGGTTTGTCCTCCTGTGCTGCCCTGTGCAGGTTTCCCTCTGTGGGTGCTGAGTGCAGCCTCTCCACGCTCCCAGATGTTCTCCAGAAGTCACAAGCTCCCACAGCTTCAGCTGGGTGGGACCTCAGCCAAGAGGGGAGACGATTTTGCCTCTGAAAATGAAATCTCAGGGGGCTGCAGTGGCAGAAACCCCAAACATTTGGCTCTATGTGAGGGCCAGGGATGTGATGCCAACACTCAGAGTGGCATCCACCCAGAACTCCCCAGCTCCTGCTGTGTCAGGGAGGTCCTGGGCACAGCTGGAGAAGGCTGGTCCCCACCTGAGCAGCCTTTTTGTCACCATTCCTTTCTACAGAATGAGCACCAGAGATTTCTCTGGGCTGATTCATCTCTCTGGGTGCATCTTTCACCTTTCCTGGGATTTTTTTCTACTTCTTTTGAGGTTGGGATTGCAAGCACTTGAGATGATAGTGGATTATTTAGGGGTTTTTTAAAATTTAGATTATTTATTATTATCTAATAAT